AACCCAACTCCCCCCAAAACTTAAATTAGCCGCCTGTTGACCAGAAGCCTTAACAATAGCAAACAGTTGAAAAACACGTATTTTGTATGTTATAGGTATTATAGACTATTCTTACAATAAAGAAAATCATAAAGGAAGAGAACATTTACATTATTTATTGAGGGGGGAAATCTACATATATGTGGACTTGTGCGATTCAAACACATATTGTTCAAGGGTCAACTGTAGTCTGTTTCTAAGGTGCTTCCCCCCCCCCCCCCTTATTTAGACCAGTGAGGTGACAGAACTCCAAGGTAAGGTTGAAACAGTAAGTTTACAACGTGCTGACAATTCAGTTCTATAGTTCTTGTTTAATAGCTTGTGTTAAAATATTCAGCAGCAGGTCTGACTGCACTATGACCTTGTTGGTTTGCATGGTGGTGATAGTACCAAAGCCATGTTTACCCACGTGGATTTTTAAATCCTAGTTGACTTTGACCAGTCCTGCCCTGTTTGCTGTTTGTGGTCAGGCTGGGGGACCTTTGGGGCCTGGCTCTGGGTCAGGGCAGACACCAACTATGGTCTTTCTCCAACCATGTGAACTGAACTAGGTTTTATTTCCTTGGTTGAAATATCTGTAATGAAGTAACATTTACTGTGCAGTCTATCTCCATCTGCAGTTAAAGTTGGACTGGAAAAGAACCAACCTTGAGACTACCATTGGTATTTTTGTGTGCTCTAAAAGGAAGACAGAGTTTCTATCCAACTGATTCTGAACACAACTCTTTAGCAAGGTCCCATACTCATATCAGGAGACACCTGGTGTACTAGATTCGGTTAATCAGCTAATTTAGGCAGATGTGCATTTTCAAAAGATCCCTGGACAGAACAAGGACTAGAAATCAAATCAGGTGTTGTTTCCCATGTATTCCCAGAGTTCCCACAGGCCCCGCGATGAAGTCGGAACTATAGAGACGAGGAAAATGACTAACCCCTCAGTGAGAGAGTAAAGGTGAAAGAAGGGTTGCTGTTCGTGGTACACTGACAGAATGACAGTCTATGGCTCACTATTCACTTTCTAGCTGAATGGGTGGTAAGAAAACAAGGTTCAATCGCTTAGGATAGCCAAGCACCTCGGCTTTGCTAGAGAATTTCTACACTTGGCTGGGAAAACTTCCAGAGGCAGATACCAACCTAGTACCTTATTGGCATATAGATGGCATCGGTACGAAAACAAACTGGCTGGAGATGCACTAAAACTCCTGATTTAGTCTGAGCTAAAGCTGTTGCTCTGACTCTGGCCAGGTGATTCAGTTGGGTTGGAGCCTTTTCCACACGCACCAAGGTTGCAGGTTTGATATCTGGTTAGGGCAGATGCAGAAAGCAACCAGTGAATGCGTAAATGGGACAGTGTTTCTCTCCATAAAAATCAATTTAAAAAATAAAGCTGTTGCTCTAAATTGGTGCCTACTGGATGTGGAAGGAGGCTTGATGGTGTTGGGGTTATTTTTTTTCTGCAAGGCACTTGTTTTTTCCAGCTATTTGCTAAACCTGAAGAGCAGCAAGGCCTGGTGTAATCTGGGCCGTAAAAGCAGGGAGGAGGGCAGCCTGAGGAAGGTGAGGTTCTTTGGAAAGTACTGCCCCGATCACCAGCTGTTTGACTAGATGCTGTTTAGCTTCCCTGGAAAAGGTGAGAAGTCAGCCATGGAGGGCCAGATATTGCAGACACTATTTTACCCTTCCAGGTTTTTGTGTGTGTTTTGCGTTGTGTTTTAATGATACTGAAATAGCCCCATCTTCATTGGTGAAATCTGCAGAGCAGATGTTAAAACAGTGAGTCTGTTTCCATCTCACATGAATTATGATGAAAGGGAAAATGGTTTGAATGAAGCCTAGCACTGCTGAAGTCAAGACAAAGCAAGTTTCTACCCCTACCCAAGCAGGTCATGCTAAAATTTGGTCTGTAGTTAAGGATTGAGGCCTATTCATCTCTTTGCCAAACCTAGAATCTCTTCTCAACTTAAGTGTAGCAGGTTTTTCACAGGCCTTACTTAAGTGAGTCCTATCTTGGCAGAAAAAACCTTGAAGCTGGAACACCCATTCCACCAGCCAGCAGCAAAAGAGGTCAGCCCCACAGCAGTGCTGACCAACTTGGCCCAAAGCCCCATCTAATCAACATGACCCTAGATACAGCTGTAGATCTCCATAAGGGGACATGGGAAAGGGGGTGACAAAAATACTTTCCCAGACTAGAGGCAACACTAGTAAAAAGGGTAAGAGGAATGTTTCACTTGAAAAACCTTTATCTCGTGCTAAAAAAGAAGTTGCAAAACAAGATAAAAGTTATAGCCTAATATTAAACCCAAAATACATACTTGTTTCTATAAGAAATACAAAATATATACTTTTTGAATTTTACTTGTCAATTTATTCTTCTACATAGTTTGTATTTTCTTAGTGAATTTCTTAAACTTAATTTTGTCCCTTTTTTTTTTCACTTAGAGAATCTTGGTTTTATCTGTCAAACACTGCTTACTTAATTCCTCATGCAGGAAGAGCTCTTGTTAATATGACCAATCCTTTCCAGCTAGAGGTAAGAGGAAAGCCATTGTAAATTGAAACAAGTTTAAGAAATCAATGTTGTTCCTGGAATTCTATTCCATCCCTCAGGATAAACTCCAGCAGCATCACTGAAGGACTAGGCTGAGCCAGTTCACACAGTGGTGCAGGGAAGTTAAAGATCACAGGTTCTGTTACTAGGATCATGGCTTCTGGTCATAAACCTTGTCTTGAACTGCTTCTCAGCCCAAGTGTATAAATCTTGTCCAGTAATCTCAGCCTGCCACTGAGTACTCATTACTTGGGCATTTGGCATCTACCTCAAGATGGGCATATGGCAGTTCCAGCTACCACCCAGTACCTTGCAGCATTCAGCACTTCAAAGGCTTGATATTAAGGCAGAGGCGTTTGTGTGTCAGATTCCAGTTATCTCAGCTGGGACTTTCCGATGCCTCAAAACCCTGGGGTCTGGCTTCCTGCTCCTCCAGTTCTGTGGCCATGCTATTTTACACTGAAGCATTTGGCACGCTTTTTGAGAAAAGCCAAAAGGATCCTGAATCCTTCCTCTGAGAGGACTCAAATGGTAAACCTTGTGAACAGGTACCTAACACCTGCTTGGAAGGGTTATTAATACAGTATTTAAGACTATTCTGTCCTTTCTAAATTACTTATTGTCTACCCACCATCCCAGGTAAGCTCTGCCTTAGTCACACAATGGCCAGCCCTCCTGAGGCCTACTTACTGTTTAAATTCAAGGTAGGGAAAAATTGCACTTGAGAATGAATCATCCATTTTATTTTATTTTGTCATGTGCTCACAACCTCTTCTCTCCCTTCCCTGGCAGGTCACAGATAAATTAAAAATAAAATCTACAAGGAAAATAATTTATAATAGCACTTCCCAGGCTCATGCCTTCTAGCCCTACTGCTCAATTAATGCTACCCCTCCCCCAAAGTGGGGAGAACCAGTATTTCCCCCATTTAACTCCTGCTAGTCCAAACTACTCCAGACTCAGATTGGGGGGAGGGGGAAGCAGCAGTAGCACAGTTAAAAGTACAGACACTGGTCCTGGAACCATGTGGCCACCTTGGCACTCCCCTCTGCTCCCCAGGCGCCCTTGCTGAGCTCAGGGTGCTGAGAAGTTGCCTATGGCCAAGAGCCTGGGGCAGAGGGAAGATGCTGTAAACCTCCATTCATGCACTTCTAATCCTCCTAGGAAGAAACTCAAAAGAAGAAAGCAGACAGAGACCTCAGGACAGAGGAGAAAAATCCCAAATGTTCACACAGTTACACGGAGTCTTTATGGCAAAGAGAACATTAGCAGCTTTGAATATTGGGGTATCTCCTTTTTACTCAACACAAGCATTCTAGACCCTATAAGTGAAACAGGGCTCAAGCCCTAAAAAAATCAAAGCGCAAGAACCTCTAAGAGGACTAGTATTTTGTTGTTGCTGGGTTTCATTGTTTTGGCTTTTCCAGTGACAAGCCCAGTTGGTGGGAGGTCTGAGGGGGTCACTCCCCAGTGTTGTGCTGAATACTACCTGGCTTCTCCACATCATCCCCCTGCCTCAGAGCAGCCCCCAGAAGGCTGTAGGCCCATTGCTGGGGGCACTGCCAGCACCCAGGTGCAAGAGCTCTGGGCAGCTTGGTGGGGGCAGGGAAGAGAACAGCATTTGCATGCAAGCTCTGATGAAGTCATGGGAACCTCAGCTCAGGGTGACTGGGCACCAGGGGAGAAGGGGTGACGGGACAGTGAGTGGCATGCTTGGTGTTGGGGCTGCTGCAACATGGGGCCTTGTGCCTTTTTCCTCTTCACTACCCTTTAATCCTAACCCTCAAACTAGTGTTGGGTCCCAGCAGCTCCCCTGTGTTGAAACGTTCAGTTACCGGAGAGCTCCCCTTCATGGATATCAGAGTGTGGGAGTAGAATGGGTTCACAAAGCCCTCCGTGTCTGCCCGCCCCTCCCCTGGAGTGAAGTGGGGTTTACTCACACCAACGACCTAGTCCCACCTAAAACCTGTTGCCTGGAATCCTGGCCAGATTCAATCTTAACCTGCATTTTCTTCCAGCTTTGATTTTTTTTTTTCTTTTTGGTTTTTCTTTCCTTCCTTTCTTCCTGGAATGAGACTTCCTACTTCTTCTCTCTCCTCTCACAAGTCCCTTCCTTCCCCTTTGTCAGCCTCCATCAATGCCATCACCACCCCTCTCCCCTCAAAGGAAAGGGGGATGGGTGAAGACCCTGTCCACCCAAACAGTCTGGCAACTTCAACATTCCCCAGGGGGGAAGCCGAGCCAGACAGCGCCTGTGCCACCTCTTCCTGTCCACTGACCCACAGTCGTCCTGTCTGAGCAGATCTATTGGATAACAAGGCATTCAAGTCCCCCACTGTAGGTCCAGGTCCAGGCCCAGCCCTCCTCCAGTTTCAATCTTGGTGAGTGTCAACCCCCCTTCCTCCCCGGCTCACTTTCTCCGGTCCTTTGGCTTCCTCTCCTGCCGCCGGGCCTGCTGGTCGGCCAGGGTGCGGGGAATGAGGAGGACACTACCATCCCCGGCGTACTGGAGAGCATACTGACTGGGCGAGTAGGGTCGCCCATTCTCATCTCGCAGCCGCCCAAACACCTCCTGGTACAGGCTCTGAACCTTCTGCTTCATTTGCCGCAGGGACCGGAGGAACTCTACCTTCTCCCGCAGCAGTCGGGCTTTGTCACGCTGCAGGTCCTCCACGTCCCGCTTCAGGTTCAGGATGGTGTCCAGCTTGCGCTTGCGGCAGTTCTGTGCTGCCATCTTGTTCTTGCCCCGGCGCCGGATATCCCGGATGAGGCTTAGCTGGGCTTCGCTGAGCTGGTATTTGGACAGCAGCTCATTGAATTCCTCCACAGGCAGGTTGATGATTTTGTCATTGGTGAAGGGGATCTTCATGGCTCGGGCTCGATGCTCATCCCGGCTCATCTGCTTGTCAGAGTCAAGGGCACTGGGTGCCATGTTGTACGTGTGGTTGTGGCCCACGTGCTCCAAGTAGGGCAGGCAAGAGAGCTGAGACGGATCCTGGTAGCTCATGCGGCAGAACTTGGAATACTCGGGCTGGTAGCCCACAGCGCCCTCAACCTCCTCTAGATCCAGGGTTTCAGAGTCAGAGCTGTAGCCAACAGCACCTTCCTCAGAGAAGGAGGAAGAGGCTGAGGAGGAAGCGGAGGAGGAGGAGGAAGAGGAGGAGGAGGAGCTGCCTTCAGAGCTGCTCAGGGAGGAAGGGCTATGGCTAGAGTCCAAGGAGAGGCCTGAGTCAGAATCAAATTCCTCTTTAAGCTGGGAGGCCTGCACGGAGTTAAAGCCTTCTTCAATGGCCAGGTCCATGAGGCTGATCTCATCCAGCATGGCTTCATCTAGCAGACCCCCCAGTGGGTCAGGCAGCTCGGGGCCTGCCGTGTCATTGGCTGTGCCATTGAGCTGGGGTGGAAAGAAGAGGCCTGTCAGGTTGGTGGAGCCGAAGGTGGAGTTGAGGCTGGTGGAATTGCTGGGGACCAGTGGGAGCAGTGTGGAGCTGCTGGCCACAGGCAGGCTCTCCACCTCAGGGCTGAAAAGGGAGAAGTCCTGGCTGCAGCCCCCGAGGGATGCCTGATGCAGGCTGACATTCTGATTGATGGGAGTGTTGGGGGCAAGGCTGTAGTTGGTGCTCAGTGGGTCTCCAGGAGGGTTATTGTACAGGATCTCATTTGTTGATGTGTTCACTTCCATGGCCTGAAAGGGAAGAAGAGGGTCACCTTTTACTCAGAGCAGACCCTCCCAGGGGAAGCTGAGGGCTTCTATAGAGTAGACACTCAACAGAGGCACAACTGCACGGGTATAAAACCAAGAAACTGGAAACCAGAGCCCACGGCATCAGCTCCTGGCCCTCGTTGGTCCACCAGGCCTGGCAAGGATGGGTTCCTCCCTATGAACTGACCAACTCATGTTGGGCCAGACTTCCCCATTTTTTTTTTTTTTAATATATTTTATTATTTTTCTTAAGAGAGGAAGGGAGAGGGAGAGCTAGAAACATTGATCAGCAAGCTCCTGCACAACCCCTACTGGGGATGTGCCCGCAACCAATGTACATGCCCTTGACCGGAATCGAACCTGGGACCTTTCAGTCCACAGGCTGACGCTCTATCCACTGAGCCAAACCAGTTTCAGCAGACTTCCCCATCTTGAAGAGAGAGTAAGCAAACACCTAACACTACTTCTTCACTGCAAAATCAACACAGTAAAAAAACAAAAACAAAACAACAAGCCTTGGAATGAAGAAACAGCTGTACCACTTTTGTGTGACCAATATATCACATAAGCTATCTGAGCTTCCATATCCTCACCTTTAAAATAATAAAGGGCTGCCCTAGCTGGTTTGGTTCCGTGGATAGAATGTCAGCCTGTGGATTGGAGGGTCTCGGGTTCGATTCAGGACAAGGGCACATGCCTGGATGTAGGAGGCAGCTGATCAATGACTATCTCTCATTATTGATGTTTCTCTCCCCTCTCCCTATCTGAAATCAATAAAAATATATTTTAAAAGTAAATAAAACAATGAAGGGCTGACTAGATTATTATGGGGGCCAAGTGAGATAATTTTTACGGTGGCTGTAAAGCACTGCATGGTAAACCTTGGAAGCACCTAGCCAAGTGATTATCTGCTTGAAGGAAAGAAGGCATACCCACTCTAAAAGGCTCAAGCCCTGGGCTTTTAACCCAAACCCCACCCCTCACTTTTACCCCTATCTCCCCAAGGAGATACCTAGACAGTTACCTCTCACTTTCCTATGGATCAGACAGATATTTTACTCTTTCTCTTCCGAGAGGGTTGGCACCCCGCACAAAGTCCCATGAGTTTGTGCTCTGACAGTCTTACCTGCATTTCCATGATGGACATGAGATCTTGCCACTGCTGCTCCAAATCAAATGGTGACTCTGTCCCCGTCAGGAGAGGAGACAAGAGGTTGTTCTGAAGACCTGGGGGCTCACTCTCACTAGGCACTGCTTCTGTTAAGCTGGAAATGTCTGCTGGAAACTAGGGCAAAACAGAGTCTTGAACAAAGAAAAAGTAAAGACCAGCCTTCTGCATTCCTCCCAGAGACTGCCACTGAGGTTTGCTCCTTCCTGATTTCACCCCAGCAGCCAGGACAAGGCCAGCACCAAGAGTCAGCCTTTCCGGCAGCCCCATAGGGACGCTGTGCAGGCTACTCTGCTGACTTGGTGGGCTCTCCCTGAAGTCCTGCTCACCTCGGCGTTCTCCCCAAAGGGGCAGGTGGCCTCCGGCAGCCTAAGGCACAATTCCAAGGACAGGGCTGTCTGGTTCTCCCCACCAGGCACCTGTGGCAACAGCAACTGTAAGTCTGACTGATCTGGGCTTTGGCTGCCTGCTGGCTTTCCCCAGGGGACATCTAAGGAAGACCTGCGTGGTTGTAGGCCTACACTCCCTCTGTTTCCAGGCTAATGGTGACCCTAAGCCCCAAACTCCAGGGGAGAACAGGGTAGGTAAGAGTCCTGGTGCAAGTAGGAATCTGCTAGGTGCCTCCTCTGCCGTTTGTTACCGAAGCCTGGCCCCTCTACTTCTGTTCATCCACTCCTCTTTTCTTAGCCCACTCGCTGTGAGAGACCCCAACCCAAAATATCCACTCAAGTCCATCCCACAAGACACAACTGCCTTCTCTAAAGAGAAGTTTCCCGGAGTGAGCAGAGGTGGGAGTACCTGGGCAGGAAAGCTCTCCCCAGTTTCTCCATCCACTAGCAGGTTTGGTGCCAGAACTTCTTCTCCCTCTCCTGGCCAGGTGTCCTCCTGCTCCACTCCATCTTGCAGTTCCTTATCCACATCTTGTTCTTTCTGGCGATGACTATAGTCAAAAATCTCACGCCCAGCCCCCAGGTCAATATCCTGTCGCCAAAGTATGTCAATCAGATCTATGTCCTGAAAGACAGATCACCACGACTTTAGCTCTTGGATCTAGGAGCCCCTCCCTCCCTCTCAGGGGTCCTTCCTAGCACTGCTCCAATTATTCCCTCCCGGGCCTAGCGCTGCCAGCCTCTTACCCCCACCACTCTGCATCAGCAAGGCTTCATTCACCCATTCCCAGACGCCAGCCTCCAAGAAACCCAAAACCTAGCAAAAACCAATAGCGTACCATCACCGTACCAGTCTGGGGCTTAGTATCTGCACCAGAAACACCCCAGTTGAAAGGCAGGGCACCTCATTGCTATGTAAGGAGGAGGAAGTTAAGGGGCAATTCTCATTTGGGAAATGGGAATCCCTTAAAACATGGTTTGTAGGAAGCTGGCCACAGCAAGCAAGGGCAAACTGTCATGCAGAATTGCTTCGATGGTGGCCAGGCTTGCATCAGCCTATGGTACCATTTCATTTGCATAAAGGGGTGGGCTGGGCTGGAGAGGAAAATCCCTGCATTTGCAACCACCTGATGAAACCAATGACAATGACAGGCTGTCTCCAGCCATTCCCCCTTCCCTGGCTGAGGCAGGAGTAAGGCTGAACACCCAAAACTCTTAAAACCCAGGCTCACCTCAAGATCCATCCCTGCCAGAATCCTCACTCTCCAGCTGATCCCAACAAGCTGCCGCTCCCAGGAGAGCTTCAAGCAGTCAGCTGATCCTCACTGGGCACCCCACCCCTACCAAGGCCAGCCCGGTGCCCCCTCTCACACCAGAGCTCTCACGCCCTTACCACACCCCAGGACTCACTCCTTACCACTCAAGGACATAGCCTCCATCACCACTTGGCCATGGCTGCTGCCTCAGGTACCAAAACACCCACCCTGCTCTACCCTGGCGGCTCCTGCACCAACTGCGACCACCCCCACCCCCACCCCCTGCCACCAGCATAGAATCCCAGTAAATAGCTCTTGGAGCTTTTCCACACAAGACACCTATAGCTAAAGAAACCCTACTGTTTCCTTCCATTCAGGTTAAGCCAGCACTTTTCAGAAAGCAATATCCTTAGATGAGATTCACCTCCCTAACCCTTATCAGGTATCCTTTCCCACTATACTCTCCTTGATCCTAAGACCTCCCACCACGTGTACCTCTCCTTTCGGTCTCCCCACATACACCAACCTGAACAGAAGCCCTGGACCCGGGAGCAGAGTGGGGCTGGGCCACCCGGTGACCAGCCAGCAAAGAGTTAAGGGGCCTGCTCCCTTTGGCAGGGCCCCCACCGCTGTGAGACCCGCGGTCCAGGCGGGTCATGTTCTGCGAGATGAGCCGCAGGGCAGCCGGTGCCGGGAAGCCGGACGGGGGGCTGCGAGGAGCTCTTGGCTTGCAGGGAGCACACCAGGCTGGAAGGGTGGCCCCGTGCTAGCTCCGAGGGGCCTGAGGAGGTGCCCCGCCCGTACAGCTGCCTGGGCGGCCCAGCCCAGCCCTCTTCCTCCATCCTTGAGCAGCCCCCTCCCACCTCACAACCCCAGTTCCACTCAGGCGCCCAGGAGCCCCCACCCTGAGCTCACCGCAGCGGCTGCAGTGAGACGGGACTCCCACCCCATGTTCCGTGCTCAAGCTGCAGAGGAAGCAAGCTTCCTCCTAGGCCCATCCTCCCACTCCTCCCTCTCTTCCCATCCCCACGCCCCCCAAACTTGTTACCTAGGCTGCAGCAAGGAGCCAATCCCCTCCCCCTCCCACCCGCAGGTCACTGCTGAGGCTGCGGAGAGCCAATCCCCTCCCCCAGGTCAGCAGCTGGGCTGCGGAAAGAGCCAATCCCCTCCCACTGTCGTTACCTAGGCTGCGACGAGAGCCAATCTCCTCCCCCAAGTCTCCGCTGGAGATGCGGCCAGAGCCAATCCCCTCCCACCGCCTGTCACCTAGCTGCAGCCAGAGCCAATCTCTGCCCCAGGGCAGCTGGAGAAGCTGCGCAAGGAACCAGCCCATCCCAGGGCCGCCGCCTCCCCTCACGGAGCCGGAGCCGCACCCAGGGGCGGGCAGCCCCACCCAGCCCAGAGCGCCAGTGCGGGCGGGGCAGTGAGCGCCCTGGGGGGAAGGGGTGCCACTCCTTCCAGTCACATCCAGCTTACCCAGCCCACTCAGGACTGGGCACACTCTTGAAGCTTCTGCGGGAATTGAAGTTCTTCCCTGGAAATGGAAGTTTTCCCGTTCCTCAGGAGGACGGTGGCCAGTTGTCCTCAAGCCCAAGGATGACCAGCCAGGCTGGGCAGGAACCCAGTGTATCCAGATCACATGTGCGCCAGGGGCTGTGTCACTCTACAATGGGCCAGATGAGGAAGGGAGAATGCCCTTTGCACATGTGCAGCCATGTCAGTGCCAGCAGGCTTCCTGAGAGGTGGGAGCCACCACCGGAAAGCTGAAAGAGACACTGAAGACAAGTGTCGGAGCCACAAACATGTCCCCCACTCCCGTTACCCTAGCTCTGCCTGACCCTGGCCCACATCTCTGAAGAAGGAAAGAAACCCTGACAGACTCAGCACCCTGTTCTGACTCCGACCCTCAGTGCCGCTCCCCTGAGCTGAAAGTCAGGTCAGGGACAGTGCGCTCTCCTGGTCACTCTGCTACTAGCCTGGGGAGAGCTGTGCACAGGCCACCCTCGCCCTGGGCAGAGTGCCAACCTCGAGGGGAATCCTATCCCTGACAGGGGCCCGGGCTATGGCTGTCCATCGAACAGGCCTGGCAGCAGGGAGCACTGCCACCCAGGGATAATACCGGCTCCAGCAATGCCTGTCACATGCTCCGGACCTGGGTATTTTTATCCCCGAGTTGCTGAGGAAATGTTCTAGACACATAATAGCCCTCCCTCCCCCCATACCTGGCCTGGGCCCCTAATGCTGACCCACCACCAACCCCCAAAAGGGAGTCGCGAAGGCCTGGTCACAGAAAACAACCTTCTAGATGCCAAGAAATGGAGGAAAGCAGAGTCAAAGTCCCACCCACCCAGCCACATTCTATCCAAACATCCATCCCAGGAGGGCTCCCCCTGCAGGGTTCCCAGAGCGAGCCAGTTACACCCATTCCCTCGGGGAGCTACAGGGGCGGGGGGAGGAAGACGAGGCTGGAGGCCTACGTCAGGCCGCTGTGCCAAGACTGGAGTCCATCTGAAGTCAATGACAGAGAAAGAGGAGAGGTTCAAGTTCCCAATGGCGCTGTAAGGATCTAAGAAAAATTGTGAAGGCTGGGGGCACAGAGTGGGGTAAGCTAGAAGGGGTCAATGGGACAAATAAGGGGACATATGTAATACTTTAAACAATAAAGATTTTTCAAAATGCACTGAAGGCCCTAGCCGGTGTGGTTTGGACAGAAAGTCGGCCCTGGGACTGAAGTACCCTGGGTTTAATTCCGGTCCAGGGCACATACCTTGGTTGCAGGCTCCACCCAGGCCCTGGTCAGGGCACCTGCAGGGGTAACCGATCGATGTTTCTCTCTCACATGGGTGTTTCTTTTTCTCTGTCTCTTGCCCTCCCTTCCACTTTCTCTACAAATCAATGGAAAAATATCCTCGGGTGAAGATGAACAAAAAAATGCACTGAAAAGTAGGAATGCTCACGTCTCGAATGCTCTTTCAAAGTAGATCCAGTATGAGCCAGCTGAACAGTAAAGCAACCTGGCACTACTGACATTTGGGGCCAGATCAGTCTGTCATTTGGGGGGCTGTCTTGTGCTTCTTAGGAAGTTTAGCAGCATCCCTAAACTCTCCCCACTAAAGGTCAATAGCACCTCTAGTTGTGACAACCAAGTGTCCCTAGACATTGCCACATGTCCCCTGGGGAGCAAAATCACCCCAAGTTTAGAACCTCTGGCCCAGAGGAAGCCACACGCTTGAGAACCGAGCTCAAGAACAGGCTCAACCGCAGGAGAGAAGAAAAAAACCTGGTCTGACTAGTGGGCAAAAGGAGGCAAGTTCTGCCGAAACCGGTTTGGCTCAATGGATAGAGCGTCGGCTTGGGGACTGAAAGGTCCCAGGTTCGATTCCAGTCAAGGGCATGTACCTTGGTTGCTGGCATATCCCCAGTGGGGGGTGTGCAAGAGGCAGCTGATCGATGACTCTCTCTCATCGATGTTTCTAGTTCTGTATCTCTCTCCCTTCCTCTCTGTACAAAATCAATAAAATATATATATATTAAAAAAAAAAAAAAAAAAAAAGGAGGCAAGTTCAGCATGTGTAGCCCTTTTTACATCTCCCCCCACAAACACTCAGGTCTGGAAAACCCAGCCTAGTGCAATCCAGTCTTCTCTTTTCCTCAGGGGCCTTTTTTTCAAACTCCTTGGGGTTGAGTGGCAAGCCAGGGCAAAACATTGAGCTCAAAGCCATCTTACCATGGTGTTGGTGGGACAGGGGCAGTTGTAGCCATTCACATTATTAAAGTCAATCACATCGCTTTCTGCCCAGAACAGTATGTCTGCCACATGCCAGGGGCTGAAGATCTGACAACTCAAAGAGAGGACTCGGGCAGCAGAAAGCATTTCCTCTTCTAGCTCCCAGCCTCGCCTTCCTATGCGTACAGCGGGCCTTTAGCAAAGATGGGAGCCTTGGTCCGCACTGCACCGAGAATAACTATCTAAATCTACCCCTTGGCTCAGGCCCAGGACAGTGGACTTATCAGGACCTTAAAACAACAGCAGGACTGACCACAGGGAGTAGAACTTCAGGATATGTATGTATGTTTTGATGTGGAGGGAGGTACAAGGCAAGAGTCCACAAAATATTTGTGTCTTAGCAACAGATATACACGGCATCAAAGCCCATCACAACACGACTCCCTCCCCCACCGCAGGGCCTCCAGGAGTCATGTTGAAATCCAAGCAGTAAACACACTGGCATGTTCTAGGAACCTCCCACTGCCCTGACGGTACATTCAGAGGTGGGTCAATGGTTCAACACAGGAAATGCTCCCAGGCCCCAATCCCAGGCAGACAGTTCAGCTCAGTCCTATCCAAGAACAATGCCTGAGACATCCCCCCACCCCCAGCCCAACCTCTGGTCCTTCACAAGAGTTAGTGCTATAGACCACAGTCCTCCAAGACCAGCCCATCCCCACCCCCAACCCGGCCCTTCCCACCCACCCCTCCATGTGGCCACTAACCTCTTTGGTTAAGTCTCCACTGACTGGAGGGGCTACAGCCCCCAAATCCTCCAAATCTTCACTGAACCCCTGCTCCGTTTCGCTTTCTCGCACCCCGGTGTCTGGGCCTGTCACATCCTGGAGGCCACTGGAACTCTCGAGGGCAAGGCCTGAGCTGGGCTGGCTGCCGGAGACAGAGCCCTCCGGATCCCGGTGGACCAGCCAGGCGCTGACCTCAGTGGTGGGCACCTGGAGCCTGTCCAGGGCCCTCACCTGACTGAGGAGCCGCCGGGCGGTGAAGTAATTGTCCAGGTCTATGCTCTTGGGGTGGATACCATAGCCGTCCAAGGTATTCCTCAGGTTGTGGAACTGGGTCTGAGTGTAGGCGGAACTGGGCCCCAGGATGATCTCCCGGAGTGGGGGGAGCTGAGAGGTCAGGTAAGTATCCACGTCCACCCGCACCCCAATCAAACTCAGCAGAATGGTGAACTGGAGGAGTCCTTCCGTTAAGTATTTCTTCAGAGAAAGCATTGCTGAAGGACCACAACGTTTATGTTTTTTGGTTTTTAAAATCTTCCAAAAGTCAAATCAAGGCCACTGCTCTGCTGCTCCAGCCAGCAAGTTACCCCGCCCCCGCTCAATGCCAAACCCGCACCCCACCCTGGCAGGGCACAGGGGCTGAGCTCCCCGACGGCCTCACAGGACAGCACACCCCGTGGAGCCAAGGCCACACTCCGGGCCACATTCACTTTTCCCGTCTCCACGCCTCGCCTCTGCACGCACCTCCGTTCCTCACCCCGGCCAGGCCCTCCGGTCCACGTGACTTACTGTCCCCACATCCACACCGTCACTTCCTCCCTCTCCGGAGCCGGGCTCTCTGTAGACTCCACTGCGGCCGCTCTCGGGAACAGCTGATGGGTACTGTTGTTTTTGGTGGGGTTTTTTTTTTTTTTTTCTTCCTAAGGTTTATTTCCTTTGGCTGGAGCTACAGGCCTTTTGTCTTGGGTCAGAGTGTCCCGCCTCCTCCACACTTACCAGGAGGGTTTCCAGAGAAACCTGAAATGGGAATCACAAGAGCAACAGGGTAAGATTCCATATAAATTCCCACACCCGGATCAAGGCGGAAGGTAGGAAACACATTAAAAGGCCACGTTTACGAGAGGGAAGATAAGTCAGTTATTATACGCCCCGAACGAAAACCCTTCATAGACACAACTATGAAAGGAAGTATTGCTCACAAAGGATCAAAGGACCCCTGTTTCTGTAGGTGAAACGTGCCATGCCCTGAAACACGGCTTGTTATGAAGAAGCAGACAATGCCTCGGGCATCCAACATGTCTTACATGCTGTCTGACTTACGGGCCCTCCTCTCCCCTCCACCCCGTGCACACACCACCCGGCGTCTATTTTTAGCCTTAAGCCCATTTCCTATCCTAAAGGAAAGTTGGTTGCCCATCTCTGGAGAAAACCGGCCCACAGTCCCTGTCCCTCCCCACTTCTAAAGGGGAGGGAGAGGTTATTAACGGATGAGCGCGTAGAAGGACACGAGGAACACGGTCAGGCCAGCACTTCACAGGAGAAGATAATGCCTTTGGTTTTTTTCAACTTTGAAACCTGGTTTCCCTTTCCTATCACTCTTCCATTTACAAGAAAAAAAAAAAGGGGGGGTGGAGGGTGGGGAGGTGGAGAGAGGAAGGTGAGCTGAGCCAGGCTTATTCGGTCCATAATTTGCATGGGCAGGTTTTATTTTCATTCTCATGACCTTCTGAGCCCAAACAGAAGGATATGGCAAAGTTCTCGGCCCAGATAGCCAAGTGGGGAGGGAGCAAGTGTCTGCCTTTCGGTTTTTGGTCTCTTACTTTTGAGCTATTAACCTTTTAAAGCAAGACAGAACTCTCTTGACGGTTAGGAGTCACCTACCAACTTCATCCTAAGGGAGAAGAGGGATCTCCACCTACAACCACACACACACACACACACACACACACACACTCCTTGCTTGGTTAGTAGTAAACACAATTGCGACCCAGAGTTTCAGCTTACACTGCCCTCCTGTCCTCACGCCATTTATTACCGAAGCCCTCTCTAGAGCCAATTAAATTAAAGACCGAGGAAGGCCGGAGGCCCCTGGTGTGAGCCCAGTCCCAATGCCCGGTACCCGCGTCCGGCGGAGACCACGTCGCCATGCCCGCTCTCGCCGCCTCCGCCTCCAGCTCCGGGCGGCGGGAAGAGTGCCGCTTCCCCGGCCTGGACCCAGCCTCGCGGCCCAGCCCCGTCGCGCCCCGCGCCTGGCCCCACCCCGCGCCGGAGCCCCGGCCTCGCACCACGCCTTCCCGGGCGCCGGCCCTCCCCGGCCCGGCCCACCGGGAGCTGCTCTCCTCGCCGCCTCGCCGCCCCTCCCTGCCGGCCGGGCCCGACCCCGACACCACCCCGGCCCGGCCGTCCGCGCCCGCCTCCTGCCCCTCAGCTCCACCCGCCGCCCTTCAGCCCCGAAGTGTGGGCCCCGCGGCGCGGCACACGGCCTCTCGTCAGGGAAAACAAGACGCCGGATACCCGCTGCTGAGCTCCGAGCGCCCTGCTGCCACAGCAGGTCCTCACCTCGAACCCCCGCCTTGCCGCAGCCGCCGCCGCCGCTGCCGCCGCCGCCGCCGCCGCCGCCGGCCGGCCCAGAGCTCCCCAGCCTCCGCTTCCCTCCCCGCCTCCTCCTCCCACCTCACCTCTAAGCCCGCCCTCCGCGGCCAGCACGTTTCTCCAATCAGCGAGCCGAGACCCCGGCCGTCGCCGGATGTCACGTTGATTGACAGCAGCGAGGGCCCAATGGCTGAGTTTCTTCCGCCTCCTTTCCCCTCCGATTTCCCAAGACGGGCACGATTCACTGCCCAATGGACGGTGAGCCCGCCCCCACGGCGTGGGCCCTCCAATAAGTGGGGCGAAGGCCCTTCTCGCCCCCGGCATCCCGGCCCCCTCCGCCCCGGGCGGGAGCACACGCGGGTGCGGAGCGAGCGGGCGGCGGCGCGCTCCCGGCGCTCTCCCCGGCTGGGGGAGAAGGGCCGAGGCCTGGGAGGGCGTGCCGCCGCCGCAGCGCGGGGTCCCCCCTCTGAGAGTTCCCACGGTGACTTGCAAAAGTCCAGGGAGACCCGAGGGCGGGGATGTTTGAGGTCGATGCGGAGCCCAGAGCATGTGCTTCGTGTGGGGCGACGCTCGTGCCGCCATCTTGGGTGCTGGCAGCGGAAACCGCTGTGCCGGCTGTCGCCAGCCCGGGACGGCAGCACCTCCGTCGCAGGCTCGGGCCACAACCCGGGGGTGACAGCCCGGGCGCGGGCGGCCACGACGGTGGAGGGCGGCGCTGTGTGAGGGCGGGGGGCCATGAGAGATGTGGGCCGGGAGGCGAACTCCCGGAAGAGTGCCGTCTCCTCCGGTCCGCTCCCCGCCCGCCTCCACGGAGCTCAGGCTTGCCTCTCGGAACTTTTCTCAGTTCCTAGCGTCCTCCGATCTCGCCTAGCCAACACCTGTTCGATTTTTCCCAAACGTGTGTGTGTGTCCCCAGCATCCCTGGGGGGACTTTTTCTTTCAGTCCTCACCCAAGGTTGTGTTTTTACCGGTTTTTAGAGGAAGAGGAAGGTAGAGAGAGAGAGAAACTTCGATGGGAGAAGTATCAAACCGTTAACGCCGTTTCCAGCCCCTTCCTGGATCAGACCTGCAGCCTATGGCACGGGCCCTGACCTGAATCCATCCAGCGACCTTTTGGTGCACACGACAACGCTCCCATCAGCGGAGCCACACTGGCCAGGGCACAACTTGGGTAATTAGGAAAAAAAAAAAAAAGAAAAAAAAATATATATATATATGTAATCAATATATATATATAGATTTTTTTTTTACAGAGAGGAAGAGAGAGGAAGAGAGAGTTAGAAACATCCACCAGCTGCCTCCTGCGCACCTCCTACTGGGGATGTGCCCTCAACCAAGGTACATGCCCTTGACCGGAATTGAAACCTGGGACCTTTCGGTCTGCAGGCCCTCGCTCTATCCATTGAGCTACACCGGCCAGGGCACAACTTGGGTAATTTTAACGCAGCCGGTTGTGGTTGGAAGACCACAGTTAGGCAGTCACTGAGCTGGAGTTTGTAGTGCGTTGTTCCCCAGCTGTGGGACCAAAAGGTGTCAACTCAAATTCTTAACTCCCAGGAAGATCCTAGTAACCTATTGGTCCTTGTACAGCTGAGGAGGAAGCCAATGGTAGCTTGTTACATCAGAGCATCGCGTCCATCACGTGTTTGGAGAGTTAGGAGGTTTAATTTGGGGTGTTTCTTAGATTATCAAGCACTTTCACCACATAAAAATATACACCAGCATCCATGCATTGAATCCTCAATTAGTTACCCGTTTCAAATACTGATTCGAAGAGCACGTGTTTTAGCCCGGCTGGCAGGGCTCAGTGGTTGAGCATTGACCTATGCACTAGGAGGTCACAGTCTCATTCCTGGTTCTGGGCACATGCACAGTTGCGAGGGTTTGATCCCCATCCCCAGGAGGCAATCAATGATTCTCTCTCATTGATGTTTCTCTCTCTCTCTCTCTCTGAAATCAATACAAGTATATTTTTAAAAACCAAAGAACACATGTTTTAGTTCTTTTACTTTGCGTCCCTGGTCCATGCTAGATTATAAACTCCATGAGGACTACAATCTTGTGCATTAACTGTTGAGTCTTCAAAACCTACAACAGTGCCTGGTACTTAGCAGACAATAAACACCCACTGAATAATTAAAGGAGCTAGAGCTGGCAGGCGTGTCATTAGAAGTTTCTGTTAAAAGCAGAAATTAATACTTGGAGGAGATGGGTTTTGAAGGGTGTGGCATATTGCCAAGGGAATCAGAGACCAGCCCTGAATAAGGCCATGGAGGTTAATACTAATGGATAAGCAAGGAGGAGAAATGAGGTGTGATCATTAATTCTAAGAACACACTACGGAGGGTGAGAAGAAATATTTTAAAAATAGAACTAAACGATGTCAAGGCTAGACTAACATAGGGCTTACATACTATTTTGAGAAGGTAGTACAAGAGGCTGCCCACTAAGTGTGGTCATTTGACACAGCAAATACAGAACAACTACAGGCCAGATGCACGAAATTTGTGCAAGGGGCGTGGCCTTCGAGGCTGCAGTAGCCTAGGCACCAAGGCCCTGACCCTCGCAGCCCTGGCTTTGCCCAGAAGGTCATCCGGAATGTGTGGAAGGTCGTTCAGCCGTCTGGTCTAATTAGCATATTACGCTTTTATTATAGATTTTAAACACACAGTAAAAAAAAAAGCAAAAAAAAAAAACCTCTCCCTGGCCAAAACCAGTTTGGCTCAGTGGATAGAGCGTCGATCTGTGGACTGAAAGGTCCTAGGTTCGATTCCAGTCAAGGGCATGTACATTGGCTGCAGGCACACCCCCAGTAGGGGGTAAGCAGGAGGCAGCTGGTCGATGTTTCTCTTTCATCGATGTTTCTAGCTCTCTATCCCTCTCCCTTCCTCTCTGTGGAAAATCAATAAAAATATATTATTAAAACAAAACAACAACAACAAAAAACTCTCCCTGGCCATGTGGCTCAGTTGGTTGGAAGCATTGTCCCATATACCAAATTGTTCTGGGTTCAAATCCCAGTCAGGGCACATACCTGGGCTTTGGGTTCAATCCCCCGGGTTGGGATGCATACAGGAGGTGGCCAATAGATCTCTCTCACACATCGATGTTTCTCTCTCTCCCTGTTCCTTTCTCTAAAATCAATGGACATATCCTTGGGTGAGGATTTTTTAAAATTGGACAGTCTTTTATGGGGAGTATTGGAAAAATTTGTTTGTATTTCCCTAAGTTTCTTTTAAACTGTAGAGCACAGTACCAGGTGCCTAGGACAAGAAATGAAGGCATGTGGTAAATATAGAACTAACATGAAATCAAATACATAAGAAATATTCACCAAAATGGAATGACGGCTATTGGTGAGAAGCCCACACTGGAGAGATAACATATGATATGGTCACATCACTTTGAAAGCCTAAATTCATTTGGTCACTTTTTTTTTTTTAAATATTTTATTGATTTTGTACAGAGAGGAAGGGAGAGAGAGGGAGTTAGAAACATCGATGAGAGAGAGTCATCGATCAGCTGCCTCTTGCACACCTCCCACTGGGGATGTGCCCGCAACCAAGGTATATGCCCTTGACCGGAATCGAACCCGGGACCCTTCAGTCCCCAAGCCGACGCTCTATCCATTGAGCCAAACTGGTTTCGGCTCATTTGGTCACTTTTTAATGACTCAGTTTCTTTCTCCTGTTTTTAGTATATTTTATTGATTTCTTACAGAGAGGAAGAGAGAGGGATAGAGTTAGAAACATCCATGAGAGAGAATCATCGACCAGCTGCCTCTTGCACACTCCCTACTGGGGATGTGCCCGCAACCAAGGTACATGCCCTTGACCGGAATCGAACCTGGGTTCCTTCAATCCACAGGCCGATGTTTTATCCACTGAGCCAAACCGGCTAGGGCGAGGTCTTTTGTTTTTTCCTACAATCCTATTCATGTTCTTTTTGCCTTCCGACTTCAAGTACTATGTTGAAAGGTGTATAAAATTACTGGCTGTACAGGGGAGAGGGAGGGATTAGAAACTCTGTTACTGGGGTAAAGGACCTAATACTGGTAGTTAGAAAAAGTTCACTGCTTAGCAATTACACAGAGGTGGGAAGAGAAAGGGAAAGACAAAGAACGGCTGGCCCGTTGCAAGGACTGAGGAGAAGACTAGATAGACAGATAGAGAGTGTCAACCAGCAGCAAGCTATGAGGCCTGTGGGGTGTGGACCCAGGATATTTAATGCTCCGCGGGAGGGAGGAGCGATCGAAAGACTGTCTCCCACGCCTGTCTAGACTAGAGCTCCCGATCAAGTCTGAGCAGGTGCAGACCTTCCCGAGACCCACCGAGTAACCTTGTAAAACCGAGGGTGTGTCCCTCTCCCCCGCCCCCACCGCCTGCCCGGGCAGCTGTGAATAGGACATTAATTCAAGAACTAAAGAAAGATGCCGTGCTCCTGTGTCATCCGTCCCGATATATCCCTGAAATCAGCGGAAAGACACTGGAAAGAGTGAGCACATGCGCTTTCTCCCGAGGGAGAGGCCGGAGCCTTCACTAAAGCCAAGCCTTGGCCCTGCGACTCCAGGCTGGGAAGGGAGGCTGCAGGAAGCCAGGGAGAGGCTTAATCCTAATACACAGGGTTTGGGGCCATCGAGAGAGACAGATAACTAGGAGACCCCTCTCCTCCTGGTCATCTCTGCTGACCCAGCCTCCTCTATAGCAGTGGTCGGCACACTCATTACTCAACAGAGCCAACTGTCAACAGTACAACGATTGAAATTTCTTTCTTTCTTTCTTTCTGTCTTTCTTTCTTTCTTTCTTTCTTTCTTTAAATACCATTTTTTCATTTTTATTTTTATTTTTAATATATTTTATTGATTTTTTTAAAGAGAGGAAGGGAGAGGGACAGAGAGTTAGAAACATCGATGAGAATCATCGATCAGCTGCCTCCTGCACACTACCCACGGGGGATGTGTCTGCAACCAAGGTACATGTCCTTGACCGGAATCAAACCTGGGACCTTTCCGTCCGCAGGCCGACGCTCTATCCACTGAGCCAAACCAGTTTCGGCTGAAATTTCTTTTGAGAGCCAAATTTTTTTTTTTTTTACTTAAACTATATAGGCAGGTACATTAATATTAACTTAATTAGGGTACTCCTAAGCCGGCCTTTGCTAAAAACGTCCTCAATCTGATTGAGGTACGTTCATTGAGGTCGACCCCTTCCAACTCTCCCATCCACACTCATATACTTGTTCCGTCTACCTCCTTTCATTCATCCCCTCTGTCTGTCCAAATCACCTCAACCTACCTTTCTCATAAGTTCCCTAAAAGTAACTTAAAGTTCTAAGTCCTAGCTAAACTACAGGTATGTTGAATAAAACTTGATTATCATACTTAATAACGATGTTATTTATTGATAAAATTAAATTCCTTACAATTTACCTTAAAATATCTATAAAATTAAATCATGACAATGACTGACAAACACTAATGTGAACAATGGCCTTGCATCTCCTTGGAAAGTTTGGGCAAGTCAGGTTTGTACGTTGTTGTTTTTAATTTTAGGTACGATTCCAGGTTCTCATCAATGAGACGATTTCTCAATCTACTCTTGATAAGGTTCATGCTTGAAAATGATTGTTCGCACAAATAGGTAGACCCGAATAAGGACAGAACAGCAAACGCTAGTTTTTTCAGTTGATGGTATGAGTCAGGAATACTGTTCCAGGTGTTAAAAATCAGCATGTCTTCCTTCTCCAGGTCTTTCAGAGCAGACCACCTGTGCCGTGCACTGAGTTCACATTTGTTTTTCTCCAATATTTCCATATCAGCACAAAGACGTACAAATTTCGAGCTCCACAATTCTTTGTTTTTTAAATCCAGCAACTGCATCTCAAAGTCGCCAATGTCGATATTAAAGGGAGAAAAATTTAATTCTGTGACAGAAGCATCAAGAGGTTTTTTCACAAAGGCTAACGTCGCTTTGCTGTCTCTGAATTCCTGAAACCTGTGGAGAAAAGCTTCTCTCATATTTAAAAGTGTTGTTTTGAAATAGCAAATGTCAATGTCGGAATTACTTTCTTGGCGATGTTTCAGCAGGCTTGGAAAGTGAATCAAAGTTTCTCTTTCAAAATCTTGAGCAAAAAGAGATAATTTGTTTTCGAAAGAAATCACTTCTTCCAACATCGAAAAGATTGTGTTTCCTTTCCCCTGTAGATTACGATTAAGCTGATTTAGATGAGACATAACGTCGACCATGAAATAAAATTTTTGGATCCACTGATCGTCCGATAGTTCTGGGTAGTGAACACCCTTCTCCAGGAGAAATGCTTTAACTTCTGTTAATAAGAAAGCAAAATGTTTCAAAACGTTTCCCCTTGATAACCAGCGAACCCTGTTATGCAGTAGCAGATCTGCGTACTCACTCTCCATTTCAAATAAAAATTCTTGAAATTGGCGGTGGTGAAGAGCTTTCGTTATAATGGACTTGATAATGTTAATCACCAGTTCCATAACTTTGCAAATTTCTTCTGGAAATGTCTGCACACAAAGCGCTTCTTGGTGAAGGATGCAATGGTAAGTAAGTATCTCGTGACTGATTTTTTCTTTCAAAATGGCAACAAACCCGTTTCTTACGCCGGTCATACTTTCCGCCCCGTCTGTTGAAACCGAGACAATTTTATCGATGGGAATGTGATGCTTTTCAATGCACTCAATGACAGCATTCGCTATATCCTCTCCACGTGTTTGGCCTTTGAGCGGCAATAATCCTAAAAGTTCTTCTTTGGGACCGGTGGGTGAGATAAATCGTACAAAAAGGGACACTTGCGCTGTATCATTGATGTGACAAGACTTGTCCACCGCTATGGATAAAGCTGACGCCAGTTTAAGATCTTCGACTTGCTGGTCGGTTATATTTGAAGACATTTTGACTGTTCTGTCTTTCACTGTTTTTGCAGACAGTGGTAACTCTTTGATTTTTCTCAGAATATCTGCTTTGTTCTTAAAATCCCGAAATAGCTCTTCCGAGGCCTTTATAAAACAACTTTTGATGTATTCGCCGTCTGTATAGGGTTTTCCTCTCTTGGCAATCTCTTGACTAACCACAAAACTTGCAATATTAACATTGTTGGAAGATTGCATCCTGTAACTAAATACAGAGGGTGGTTTTTCCTGACTCTTCCGAAGTTCCTCAACTGCCTTCTTCCTTGCCTCGCCGACAGGATAGTTAACACTAAATGACACGTGTTTGGTTGTGAAGTGTCTCTCCACGTTGGATTTCTTGTTATGCGCCAGCGTTTCCTGACAAATAAGACAGGTCGGAAGGCCATTTAAGTTTTGAGTAAAGGCGAACGCCTCGGTCCATTCAACTTTAAATTCGCGGTTTTCGTCTTCCGTTTTTCTTTGCTTCTTCTCTGTAGCCATGTCAAACAGGGCCCCTAAAAAGAAGTTTCATTTTATAATAATAAAGCCACCAACACAAAATAATTACAATTCTTAAATTGATGACAATGCAGGGTTTGCAGCTGGTAGGAAAAATACAGGTAGCATTATGCTTGGAGTAGGTACTTTTGTCACCAGCGCCTGATTTGCGGACGCGACTAGCACTAACCACTGCACATGAGACTGCTGACCCACTGGCTCACTCAACTCCTGCATGAATCTCGCACCCCTCCCCCCGCCCCGTGCTGCATGTCCCGTCAAATGACCGACCTGCACCCCCACTTCTTCAAATTATACTCACCCAGGCTGAAAACTGACTTGTGTGCGTGGGCCACGAAGTTTCAATCGCACTGCACGTGCACACCCACACGTGGTATTTTGTGGAAGAGCCCACTCAAGGGACCCAAGAGCCGCATGTGGCTTGCGAGCCGAGGTCTGTCAACCACTGCTCTATAGAAGTTGCTGCTACCACCAGCAGGCACTCCCATCCTCCAGTCATCATGCCAGGAAACCCCTGGAGAGGGGGACGTGGGAAGGTGGCCTGGCTGGGACCAGGATTTCTCCTAGAATAGCAGGAATTGCTTTCCCCCTTAGGAGAAAGGTAGTCTTTCTGCACTTCGGGTTGCCCATTGGTTTTTCCTTTCCTTAAAAATGTTTTTTTAAAAAATATATATTTTATTGATTTTTTACAGAGAGGAAGAGAGAGGGATAGAGAGCTAGAAACACCGATCAGCTGCCTCCTGCACACTCCCCACTGGGGATGTGCCCGCAACTAAGGTACATGCCCTTGACCGGAATCAAACCTGGGACCTTTCAGTCCACAGGCCGACGCTCTAGCCACTGAGCCAAACCAGTTTCGGCCTTCAAAATGTTTTTAGCTTTAGCCAGTTTGGCTTGGTGAAGAGAGCCCGCAAACTGAAGGGTCTTAAGTTTGATTCTGGTCAAGGGCACATACCTTGGTTGCAGGCTTGATCCCCTTGTGGAAGCAACCAATTGATGGATCTCACATTGATATTTCTCTCTCTCTCTCTCCATATATATATATATATTCCCCACCAGTCTTTCTCTTAAAAAAAAGTTTTTAAATGTTGCTAATCTATATAAATATTTTTCAATTTCAACTTCCAGGGGAATGGATTAGATGCCTGCCTAAGATTTCCTTACACCCTTCTGAGATTCTAGGATTACATTCTGTCAATACTAAATGGTATCACGTTTTAGAAGGAAATCAATTCGTTTTCCAGCTAATCCAGACATCTGGCGCCTTTCTTACTTGGTAAACATTATTAGCAAGCCTGTTAACATTAAACCACCTAAACAGGCAAAGCTCTGCTGGCAGCCTCTCCCTGTGCACCCCATCACACCTGCCTCAGGAGACTGCGTCTTAACCCTAGAATCACCTGGGGGGGCTTGTAAAAGCCACCAATGCCCAGGCCTAGCCAGTGTGTTCAGTGGTTAGTGCCAGCCTGAGCACTGAAGGATCTCCGGTTCGGCTCCAGTCAAGGGCATTTACCTGGGTTGCAGGTTTGCTCCCTGGTCGGGGCATGTGCAGGAAGCAACCATCGATGTGTCTCTCTCACATCAATGTCGCTCTTTTGTGCCCTCGCTCTCTTTTCTTCTTCTTCTTCTTCTTCTTCTTCTTCTTCTTCTTCTTCTTCTTCTTCTTCTTCTTCTTCTTCTTCTTCTTCTTCTTCTTCTTCTTCTCCTTCTCCTCCTCCTCCTCCTCCTCCTCCTCCTCCTCCTCCTCCTCCTCCTCCTCCTCCTCCTCCTTCTCCTCCTTCTTCTTCTTCTTCTTCTTCTTCTTCTTCTTCTTCTTCTTCTTCTTCTTCCCTCCTTCTCTCCCTCTCTCCCTCCCTCCTACTCCCTTTAAAAATCAATGGGAAGACCTAGCTGCTTTGGTTCAGTGGGTAGAGCATGGGCTTGCGGATTGAAGGGTCCCAGTTCAGTTCGGGCCCACAGTACATGAGGGGTCTCAGGCTCAATTCTGGCCAAAGGCACATGCCGGGTTGTGGGCTTGATCCCCAGTAGGGGGTGTGCAGGAGGCAGCCAATCAATGATTCTCATCATTGATGTTTCTACCTTGCTCTCCTCTCTTCCTCTCTGAAATCAATATAAATATATTTTAAAAAATAAAAATCAATGGGGAAAAAAAAAATCCTTGGGTAAAGATTAACAAAGCAAAAGCAAAAAAAAAAAAAAAAAAAAAAAATCAATGCCCTGGTCCCACCAACCAGTCTCCCAGAGCAGCCTGGGCAGCAGAATTTTTGTAAAATCTCCTCTGGTGATTTGTCTGTGCAGCCAGAGAATACTAGCTTGGAGTAAGAATCCAAGCTGGTAAGAAAGGACAACAACAGGCTCGGCCGGGTAGTTCAGTGGTTAGAGTATCGTCCCATCACTGAAAGGGTGGGGGTCAGGTTTATTCCCCTGTCGGGGTAAGTACGGGAGAAAACTAATCGATGTTTCTCTCACATCGATGTCTCTCTCCTCTCCAGAATCAATGAAAACATACCTTAGGCCCTAACCGTTTTTGGCTCAGTGGATAGCGCGTCGGCCTTCGGACTCAAGGGTCCCAGGTTCGATTCCGGTCAAGGGCATGTACCTTGGTTGCGGGCACATCCCCAATAAGGGGTGTGCAGGAGGCAACTGATCGATGTTTCTCTCTCATCGATGTTTCTAACTCTCTCCCTCTCCCTTCCTCTCTGTAAAAAAATCAATAAAATACGTTTTTAAATGTTAAAAATAAAATACCTTAGGTAAGGATTAAAAAAAAAAAAAAAAGGGCAACAGTGAAACAGTGCTAATGCATGAGCACACACTAGAATCTCCGCCTGGGAAAGGAGGTACTATTTGTCAATCCCCAAATCCTCTCTTCCTTGACCTAGCAGCCAGCCAATGAAAACACCTCATTGCTCACTCATGTCTTGGCATAATCTCTGAGGAATCTGGGCCCCAAACGCCCCCTCCACCTGCCCCTAACAATGCCGCTGACTTCTTTGTCTTTGACAGGCTGGCATGTCACTGTCAGGGAGGCCCTATCGTGAGAGGCTTTGGACTCAGCGCTGGGTTCAAAACCTGGCTCTGCGCTAAGTGGAGACAACAATCTGCAGACTCAAAGTCTAAACATCAGACTGATGTGCCCTGGCTAGGCGGCTGGTTGCTTAGAGCATCAGCCCATACACCAAAAGGTTCTGGGTTCAATTCCCAATCTTGGTGGGCACATGAGGGGACCCATCGATGATCCTCTCTTACACAGATGTTTCTGTCTCTCTCTCTAAAAATCCAGGGAGGGAAGAGGTGAGAGTTAAAAAAAAAAAAAAAAAAAATCAGATCCTATGGCTAAAGTCACTCGGGCCTAGAGCTGATTGTTAGGTCCCAACTCTGGTTTTTTGTTTTTTGTTTTGTTTTGTTTTTTAATATATATTTTATTGATTTTTTACAGAGAGGAAAGGAGAGGGATAGAGAGCTAGAAACACTGATGAGAGAGAAACATCGATCAGCTCCTCCTGCACACCCCCCACTGGGGATGTGCCCGCAACCAAGGTACATGCCCTTGACCGGAATCGAACCTGGGACCTTTCAGTCCACAGGCCGACGCTCTATCCACTGAGCCAAACCGGTTTCGGCTGTTAGGTCCCAACTCTGCCCACCCTACAACCTATCCTCCCAGAGAAAGCCAAATACAATGAAGACAGGAGAGCCGTGCTTAGGGTGGTCAGCTGGAAACCAGCCTGCAGACAGAGCACCGGCGCCTTCATTTTCTCTCTGGAGAATACCACAAGCGCACACACCCAGGCCTCACATCCACACACACCGCCCCCTCCTGACATTATAGCAGGAGAGAGAGCTGCCACCCAAGGGAGCTGTTTCTTCTTGTCACACCAGGACAGATGCCAGAATCCTGGGACAGACAACACAGACTGTGGCAGCAGCGGGCTGAGTCAGAGGAAACAGAATGGACTCACCTCCGAGACATGCCAAGGCCCAGAGGGGGGCCCATTTGAACCACCTGCCTCTTGTTGTTTTTAACAGGGTTAGCTCTGGCCGGGGTGCTCAGTGGTTAGAGTGTTAGCAAAGGATCTCAGGTTCAATCCCATGCCCCGAGAGTGGAAGGCAGCCAATTGATGTCTCTCTCTCGCTCTCAAATCTCCGGTCTCCCTCCCTCCCTCTCCTTCACTCTATCTAAAAACCAATGGAGCCAAAACCGGTTTGTCTCAGTGGATAGAGTGTCGACCTGCGGACTCAAGGGTCCCAGGATCGATTCCGGTCAAGGGCATGTACTTTGGTTGTGGGCACATCCCCGGTGGGGGGGGGGGGGGTGCAGGAGGCAGTTGATCGATGTTTTTCTCTCATCCATGTTTCTATCCCTCTCCCTTCCTCTCTGTAAAAAATCAATAAAATATATTTTAAAAAATAATCAAGTCAGTATTTTTTCATAACACACCAAGCTGGCATGATCATTGACTTGATGCCTCGTGATCTGGAAGCCAAATAAAATACTGCCCTCCCCCCTCACTCCCACATTGCACCAGTGTTGGTTAAGGTTCACTATGATAACTCGGACAGCCTGCAAGGGAGATTCCGAAGTGCCTTCTAAATCATCATACAAAGGGGTTCGGTAGACGCTTTCATCCGATGTTTGCATGGCTTACTCTGTCACCTCCTTCAGCTCTTTCTTCAAATGTCACCTTCTTGAAGGCTTTCCCCAGTGACACGAAGGGAAATGGCACTCTGCCCAGATCCCGCCAACCCTTACATTCCTGACCCCTAGTCCTGTTCTATTATTCTTTGTAGCATTTATCAGCAACTTACATAATATCTATTTATTATCTGACTTGCAAAGAAATGTGTGCACACACACTGGCATTTGAATATAAACTCCACGAGAGCAAAGATTTTGGATATTTTGTCGACACGTGGAGCCCAGTGACTAAAAAGTATCTGGTACATAGTAAGCACTCAATAAATATGTGTACGTCACCTAAAACATGGTTTCATTGATAAGTATATTTTAATTATTTGCTTAAAATAGGTTCTTTGTGAATGCACATGATCTCCTTCATCCCGAACTTCATCTATTCATTCACTTACTCAACAAATGCTTCCTGGCAAGTCAGGCCCAGTTTGGGGGCCAGAGCGGGTAGGGAGGAGAGGGATTCCACAGTGAGCAAGACAGAAAAGAAATATTATTTCTGTTCTCAAAGTCTTGTGAGGAGAAGACTATACATTTGTAAGTAAGTTAGTAAAAATAATACTTAAAAGTCGAGAAAAGGATAATGTAAGAAATATGTATGGTACTGAGTTAGAGAATGTGATGGGAGAGACCATTCTGTGGTGATGACACTGAAGTTGAGACTGGAAGAATGAGAAGACTTTATAGTATTCACAGAGGAGAATCCACTTGGCAGTCATCTGGAATAAGTGCATTTGTTGCCCAACGTAAGAGGCCTTGGAGAGAAGATTGGGGAAGAAATGTTGAAAAACTTGGATTCATTCTCCTTTGAGCTATTTATTAGCTTTAAGATATTGAGTCTAGCCGGTTTGGCTCAGTGGATAGAGCATCAGCCTGTAGACTGAAGAGTCCCAGGTTCGATTATGGTCAAGGGCACATGCCCTGAGAGGAGAAACCAAGATGGTGGCATAGGTAAACACCTAAACTGCTGCCTCAAACAACAATTTCAAAACTACAACTAAAAGACAAAACAGACATCATCCAGAACCACAGGAAGGCTGGCTGAGTGGAAATTCTACAACTAGAAGGAAAGAGAAAAGCACACTGAGACTAAGGGGAGCTACAGGAGGCAGAGGTACTGAAATGCTCATGGAGAGGACTGGCAACTGATTGCATGGCTGGCTTTCTCAATCAGGAGGGAGACAAAAGCTCCTGACTGCTCTGAACTCCAGTTCTGGGTGAGATTCTGGAGAAACTGGATTGTTTGGCAGTGGGTGGGACTCGAGGGCAGCTTTCTCTCAGAGGTGCTTGCAGCGATTACCATGGGACACTGAGACACAGGGGCCTATTAGGGCAGGGCCGAAGGGAAACCAATGCTGTCTGCTCCACCCTGAGACTCTGCCCCATCCAAGCTGAGCACAGAGGCTTTTGCAAGTCTTCTCTCATAAGGGTGTCTTCAGCACATAAGTTCTCCCAGTGTAGACACAGCTTATCCTACAGCCAATTGGCCTGGAGATCAATTCCTCCAGGGATACCAACAACAATCAAGGCTTAACTACAACAAGATTGCACACAGCCCACAAAGGGGTGCACCAAGAGTGTCCACCTCAGATAACTGGGGAGACTGAGCCACTAGGCCCAATAGGACACCTAGCATGCAAAACCACTCTATCAACTCAGGGAAGCAGCCAAAATGCAGAGACAAAGAAACAAATCACAAATGAAAGAAGCGGAGGGAAGCAAACGATTGGATATAGAGTTCAAAATCATGATTATAAGATTTTTCAAGAATTTTCTAGAAAAGGCCAATAAATTTAGCAAGACCCTCGAGGATATGAAAAAGGACCATCTAGAAATTAAGCATACACTGACTGAAATAAAAAATATTATACAGAGATCTAACAGCAGACTAGAGGATCACAAGAATCAAGTAAAGATTTGAAATACAAAGAAGCAAAAAACACTCAACCAGAAAAGCAAAAAGAAAAAGAATTCAAAAATATAAAGGTAGCCGAAGCCGGTTTGGCTCAGTGGTAGAGCATCGGCCTGTGGACTGAAGGGTCCCGGGTTCGATTCCGGTCAAGGGGATGTACCTTGGTTGAGGGCACATCCCCATTAGGGGGTGTACAGGAGGCAGCTGATTGATGTTTCTCTCTCATTGATGTTTCTAACTTTCTATCCCTCTCCCTTCTGCTCTGTAAAAAAAAAAAAAAAAAATCAATAAAATATATATATTTAAAAATAAAAAAATAAAAAAATCGTATAGATGAGGACAATGGGGAGGGGGGTAAGGGCAGAGGGTGGGGTGGAAACCAGTGGGGTGGAGCTATGGGGGGAAAAAGAGGAACAATTGTAATAATCTGAACAATAAAGATTTATTAAATTTTTAAACATAATAAATATATAAATAATGCTTCTAGCCCTAAAAAAAGGGGGGAGGGAGGCACGTGCCCTGGTTGCAGGCTTGATCCCCAGTGGGAGGCATGTAGGAGGCAGCCAGTCGATGATTCTCTCTCTTCATTGATGTTTTTATCTCTCCCCCTCCCTTCCTTTCTGAAATCAATAAAAAAATATATTGTTTTAATGTGTATGTGTGTGTTTTTTTTAATTGATTTAAAAGAGGAAAAGAGAAACATCAATGATGAGAGAGAATCATTGATCAGCTCCCTCCTGCACACACCACACTGGGAATCGAGCCCACAACCTGGGCATGTGCCCTGACCAGAATCAAACCGTGACCTCCTGGTCTTAGGTCAAAGTTCAACCACTGAGTCCGTCACAGGCTGGTCTCAATAAAACTATATATTTTTTAAATATCTTGAAAAGGTCTGAGTCTCCCTTCCTTAACATGGGAGTGATAATACCTACCTCACAGGTGTGGGTTGGGTTGGGTCATGTCTGTGAAAGTGTTTACGGGTGAAATATACGCATGAGGGTGTGATGGGTAAGTGGGTCAGTGCTGCTGGCTCTGCAGGGTGACTCTCCCACTGGCCGTGGGTATCCTGGAGGGAAGGCTTGCTCTCTGCTATCGCCAAAGCAAGGCCAAGCCTGTGCCATGGAGCAGCCGTGCTGCTAGGCATCGGTCTTGCTTCAAGTTTGTCTGTCTATGTCTGTGTGTCTGTCTGTGACTGGGAGGCCTCAGAGGGTCCTGGCCATGGCCCAGGAGGAAGTGGCCGTGGGCAGACCTGCCCTGCGCAGAGGGCCTCTCCAGAGCTGCCCTCGCGGCTCCCACGGCTGGAACTTGTCCCCGGGGCCCGGCTGCATTGGTCGCACGTACTTACCCCGCAGTTCAGAGACAAAGCTGGACTTTGCCTGTGTTCCCTGCAGGCCCCGTTAGCCTGCCAACCCAGCCCGCAGCCAGAGGAGGGGACCGCGGGGGGCGGGGGTCCGGGCACCGGCGGGGGGCTCGGACTTCAGGGAGGAAGGAGGGAGCGATGGGGCAGGAGCGCTGGGTGTGGGGCGCGGGAGGGAGGGCAGGGCCGCGGGGAGAGGAGAGGAAAGGCCGGCGCCGCGCGGGGAGGGGGCGGGCGGCTCCGGGCGGCGCGGGGCGGGGCGGGCGGGCGGCGCTGTCAGCGCGGCGGGCGGCGAGCGGAATGCAGCGGCCCGAGGCCTGGCCACGTCCGCACCCGGGGGAGGGGGCCGCGGCCGCCGGGATCGGGGCCCCGGCAGCGCCCGCCCGGGCCGGGGAGCCCGCGGAGCCGCGGGTAGGGAGCAGGCGGGCGGGCGCCGGGGTCCGGGGGCAGGAATCGGGCCCAGGGAGGGAGGGGGGGGGGATCTAACTCCCAACTTGCACGCCCGGCGCCGGGAACTCGGTGGCACCGTGGGCGGCCCGGGAGGGGCCGGGCGGGAGGAAAAGTTGCTGCGGGCGCGGGCACGGGCGCGGGCACGGGCTCCCGCGGAGGCCCGTCCGGAGTCCGCGTGGGCCCGAAGTTCTGGATGAGTTTGGAGCAGCGACGGGACGGCTCGGGGTGGGGGTGCACTGAGGTTCTGCAGGGAAGGGGGGCCCGGACTCGTGCGCCCCCGCCGTGTGCGCTCCGGAGCCCGCCGGGCCGGGGAGGCTGGGGGCGCGCAGGGAGAGGGTCAGCCGGAAGGAGGAGGCACCGCCGTCCCCCCGGCCCAGGTTCTGTGATACACTCCGACTCGGGCTCTGCAGCAGTCAGTGCATGACAGAACTTGGGCCCGGGCGGACCTTCCGCACAGGGTGCAGAGCGCCCGCCAGGGGCCTGCAGGGGGGCATCTGCCTGGGGGAGGAGCAGCCCCCGGAGTGGGCCCTGGGGGACAGGATTGGGCCAGAACCGGCTATGGGCCTTCTAGGTTGGGGGGGGGGGGGTGTCACTGGAGCCTGAGCCTAGATAGACTCCTGGGGCCCCGAAAACCAATGACAGGGCACCTGCCTTGAGTCAGGGGCCAAAGGGGGTTGTCTAACCCCTCACCCCCACCCCGTGTCAGTTGCAGGAACCTTCCCTCTACACCGTCAAGGCTGTTTTCATCCTAGATAATGACGGACACCGCCTGCTGGCCAAGGTAACTCCCACCCTCACCCGAGGGCCCCTGGTGACTGTGCTTCTGTCCCGAGAACAGGAGTCCCCACCCCCCAGCGGCCTCTCCTGCCTCCCGAGAGACCCCGCTGTGGGTTCTGTGACTCAGAGCAGCGCAGCTCAGACCCTGTTAGACGCTGCAAAGGTCCCTCTGCTCATCCTGCTGCCCTGCCAGACTGCTGGCCCCTGAAGTGTCGTCTGGCCATCCTTTCCATCAGCCAGCTGGACCCGGGCATGGACTCAGGGGTCAGTGGAGTGGGAGCCTGGGACCCAGGGGTCCTAGTCCCCAAATTCTAAACGAGCAGCCTCCACTGTTCTCCTACAGCTTAGTGAACACTGAGGATTTAGTCGGAGGAGTCTAAGACTTTAGACCCAGACAGGATCAGAGACCACAAAATCCAGCTCTTTCACAAACGAAGAAAAGGCGATCTGGTCTAGAGAAGCTCCATGAGTTGCCCAGGACACGAGGGTTCATATCCAGGGCAGCGATCTGACCTCACGGTGTTCTGGCTTGGAACTCAGGCGTGTGGCTTTCCCGGCACAAACCAGTCAGGTATCCAGTATCTACCCCAGTGAATGTGGCTTACGAAAATCTATATAATAAAAGCCAGAATGGACCAGAATGACCAGTTGGACTGGTCGCTATGATGCACTCTGACCACCAGGGGGCAGATGCTCAGTGCAGGAGCTGACCCCTGGTGGTCCGTATGCTTCCACAGCAGGCGGTAAGGAGCAAGGGGTCCCAGACTGCAAGAGGGTGCAGGCTGGGCTGAGGGACACTCCCCGCCCCCCAAGTAAACAAATTTCATGCACTGGGCCTCTAGTCCACAAATACATGTCTGCCTTGACACAACGAACCATGGGAGGGACATGGTATCTAAACCAGCTAGGAAATAACTTACAGAGTTGCTTGTTTGCCCTCATGCCTTCAGAGGCACGACAGCATGGACTGAATTGTGCAATGTGTCCTGGGGACTTTCCCTCAGCTGTTTCGTCTTCATACCTGCCTGAAGTCAAGCCATCCTTGGTGTTGAATCCCAGATCTGCTCCTACAACTATGAGAAGTTACCTGACTTCTTCACGCCTCAGTTTCCCCGTCAGTACAAGGGGGATCATAAAGCAGTTGTGGTTATTATGGTGATGAAGAAGGACCCCGGGGATCTACCCTCTTTCCTGCAGGCTCAGGTCCGTGTAGAAAGAGCATGACTTGGTGATCACCCCAATCCTCAGCACACCGCACATCTGCTCACCAGACAAAAGACTCCAAGTATTAGGAGAGGACAAAAAATAAAAAGGCCTCCAAACTCCTCTACATGTTATTGTTCTTTGCGTAGAATTTGTGTCTATAGGAAAACAGTGAGCAGGCGGGCCTAGAGGGAGGTAAGGAAGAGATGGGCACTTGGCCAGCACCCACCGTTCCCTGCCACCCATCCCCAGAGGAGCCAGGCTCTGTGGAATGGACATCGCCCCTTCTCCTTCCCTTCCTCGTAGTATTATGATGACACATTCCCCTCCATGAAGGAGCAGCTGGCCTTTGAGAAAAATGTCTTCAATAAGACCAACCGGACTGACAGTAAGTACCCCCCTCTTCCTCGTCTGGAACTCTCAGACACGCACTGTCCTCTCCACCCGGACCCATCTGTCCCCGTCGGGTCTGCACACCTACAAGCCATTTCCTTTTCTTCAGAGGTTCTTACCTCTCCTTCCAGCTGTTCATCTCTACGTCTGGGGAACCTTCACCCCCCCTCCCCCCCTCCCCCCGCACCCATCCCTCTCAAACCTCCTTCCACCTGCACACCTGGACCTCACTCTCAGGGGAAGAGGACAGCTGAGTTGTGGGCCCCCTACCAGCCTGGGATGGGTCCGAGGCATTGCACGTGGTGGGAGCGGGAGTGCAAGGTCGACCTTGACCTGGGTTTGTTGACGCCTCGGAATGAGGCAATCCCTAGAAACGGGGTGGAGGGAAGGACACAGAATAGCCTGATGGTAGTGCTCCTAGTGCTGGTTCCCTAGAAAGGGAGGAATGAACCAGGGGGAGCAGTGCAGAGCTGGAGCTGGGGAGGAGGGGCCAGGCAGAGGTGGCCAGAACAGAAGTCTCCTCTACTTCCAGGTGAGATTGCGTTTTTCGGGGGCATGACCATCGTCTACAAGAGCAGCATTGACCTCTTCCTGTACGTGGTGGGCTCATCCCAGGAGAACGAGGTGAATTCAGGAGGTTGGGGTGGCAAGGAGGGTCTGTCTGGGGCGGGGGGGGGGGGGGGAATGGCTTCGAGTCTGGGGTAGAAGCTGGATACCCCTCCTTCTAAACTCTGCGGGTCGGTGAGCAGCCAGAATGGTTCTTTCTGGGACCAGGTATCCCCATTAGGCCCCTTAGGTTCCTTAGGGACCAGGAGTGTTCTCTGCAGGAACTTTGGTTTCTTTTTCTTTCTTTCTTTCTTCCTTTCTTTCCTTCTTCCTTTTTTTCCTTCTTTCCTTCTTCCTTTCTTTCTTTTCTTTTCTTTTTTCTTTCTTTCTTTCTTTCTTTCTTTCTTTCTTTCTTTCTTTCTTTCTTTCTTTCTTTCTTTCTTTCTTTCTTTTCTTTGAACACCACTAGAGAAGGATACACTCTGTGCCCCACTCTAGTGCTTCCCAACCCATGTCCAAGGTCAAGCTGCAGGCAGCCTCCAGCCCTGCCGTCTCTGGAAAGGGACAGTTTCCCATGCAGGTAGACTCTGAGGTCTTCTTTCGGCCTTTCCAACCCGAAGCTCTCTCATTTTCCTCCTCCCGTCTCTACCCAACCTCAGCTGATGCTCATGTCTGTTCTCACGTGCCTGTATGAGTCCCTGAACCACGTGTTAAGGTGAGTGAGATCTTCGGCCCTTCAAGGCCCCATCCCCCAGGCCTTGACACACCACAAGGACAGGGCCCCTCCTCCCTGCTTTTGTCCTGACTAAGACCGGAGCCGAAGCATCCCCTTCCAAGACCTCTGCCCTTTCCGTAACCATGTGTTTCACCCAGAGCAGGGCAGCATGAAAATGAGGTCATAGAAAAGCAAAATGATTTGCCCGAGGTTACAAATGGTTTCTGTCACAACAGGGACTCAAACTCAGGTTTTCTGACTGGAGGCTCCGGTGGTTTTCGCTGAACCCCAATTCCGTTATCCAGTCTCTATTCCAGTGGGCATGACCTTAGAAAATCCAAAAATAAATGAATTCCCTAGTCAACACAGTTGAGTATGGTAGCGCTCTAGCATCTACACTAGTTCCGAAATGCATGAGGGGTGCCATGGTGGGCACAGCATCAATGCCGCACGTGTAGGAGGTTGGGCAAGGAGGGTTTAAGGCTGTAAGCCTGTCCTCTGCTCAGGAATCCTTGCCCAGGCGATGTCCTCACGGCCCTTGACATTGTCCTTCCCAGTGCCTGTTGGGGGTGTGGTGGGGTATGGTTGGCGGGCCGAGGGGCGGGTGTCTGTCCACCTGGGCAGGGACCTGGTTCCTCCTGGCCATGGGGAGGCTCAGGAGCTGTATCTCCCTCAGGAAGAACATGGAGAAGCGCTGGCTGTTGGAGAACATGGATGGAGCCTTCTTGGTGCTGGATGAGATTGTGGATGGCGGGTGAGGAGCGGGTGGTCAGGGACACTCACTGGGGGGCGGGGAAGAAGTGTCTTTAAAGATCATCAGCTCTAGATTGTACCCAATACACTGCTGGCCACCTCTGGCCACCTTCTCCCTCCTTTCCCCAGCATATTCCCGGTGACCTCATCCCCCCACCCACTCATGAGGACAGAGGTTGAGGTCAGTGTTAGAGTCAAGCAAACAAGAAAGGAACCTGGCGCCCAGCTGTGGCTGGCTGTTCGATAGGCAGGGTTTGGGTGAAGGGGTTTGCTGTCCGGGGCCCAGGAAAGGCAGGCAGCGGACACGTGCCCCTCCCTCGAAGGTCTTCACTCCAGCAGAGCTCAGCTGCCTGCACACCTCCCACTCTTAGCTCTCCATTCCGACCTGCCTAGGCGTGTGGCCTGGGCCAGGTCCTCATTCTCCCCGAGCCTCCCTCTCCGTAGCTTTCAAATGAGGATGATGAAGGAGCTACCTCATAGGGCACCGGCATTAAATAAGGTGATGCTGGTCAAGCTCATGGTTCTCCTCCAATGAATGTCACCTGCCATTGGCGTGCCATTCTGGGAAGCTGAGTGTTTTCAGGAGAAGGGTTGGCTAGTGAATTTCCATGGGGAGGGGGGGGAATAATTGGGGAGAAAAAGAAATTCTGCCTCAGGGGCAAAGGATAATAGAAACTGATGATCTTAAAGACATCCACACACCTCTATCATTACGTCCATTTTAGAGATGGGGGAACAGAGGCTCAGAGATTCTAGTGACTTGCCCAAGGTCACACAGCAGGGCCAAGATCTAGAACCATGGGCATGGTTCAAGATTGGGCTCTTTCCATGGCACTGAACCACATGTCCCGGGGGGCAGGGAGCTCTGGGAGATGGGGTACTATGGAATTCCTCTCCCTTCCCTCCCCACTGACTTCCTGCTAACTGCAAGCCTTGTGCTAATTGCTGAGACCCAAGAGAGATGGAATAAGACTGGGTTTTGTGGAACCAGAAGTATATACAGTTTGGTGTTACCTCTTTAAGGAAAGCACACGCACACATACACAATTACAAAATGGGGGGCAAGGCTTAGGGAAGACCATGGAGTTCCCGTAGCTTTTGGAGGTGACATGGAATAAGAGTGAAACAAGGTAGAGACCCCAAGGCACCTCCCTCTCTTCTCTGAACTTCCCTGAACCCAACCCTGACCCGGAAGGGGAAGTGAACTTTCCAGAGCTCTGAGTGTCCCAGCCCCTGCTTGTGACACCCAGTTTTTTCTGGCCTGAACCCACTCTGTTGCCCAGCGTTTGCCCAATGACGGCCATGTGTCTGACCAGCAGGTCTGAAGTATAAAAGAACCAGAGTTAGGGATCTCCGTGGCGAGGGAGAGTTCTGGTTTGAGAAATACCAGTGGGAAGGTTCCCCGGAGGGGAATTTTGCAGGATCTGGTGACTGAGGGATGAGGCTTAGCAGCGAGAGGCTGCAGAGGGGAGATTGGTGTCACTGATTTTCCTCCTGGTTTCTCTCTCTCTCATCGTTGTGCAGCGTGATTCTGGAGAGCGACCCCCAGCAAGTGATCCAGAAAGTGAACTTTAGGGTAAGAGTTCCCTGCAGGCCCTCACCTCCTCTGGGCTGCCGTTCCCCTCCTCCCATCTCCTGTCTTCCCTGTGCTGGGGCTGCCAGGGCCCAGGGAGGGATGGAGGGGGGACCCAGGCTCCTCTAGCAGAAGCAATGACTGGGATGATGTGTTTGGGGGTGTCAGTAAGTAAAAGAGATCGACTGCATCTCCCCCTGTAGAATCACCAAGTATCTTCCCCTCCTCCCTGGTGGGAAGTAAACTCTCCAAGAGACACGGGTGGCTGCCTTGGCCCTGAGATTGGGAACTGGTCCTCCAGATAGCATGGCCCTGCCTAGTTCGTCTTTCCTGCCCAAATTCAACCTTCCCTTCCATCTTTCTCCCCTTCATTCCCGTACCCCCCATGCACCACAGGCAGGGCCTGGGGGGCCTGGCATCCATGGGGCAAGGTGCAGGGCTTCCCCTAAGGGGCGACCTGGGTGCGGTGCCCGATTCCCATACACTGCATCCCTCACCCCACTCTTCCCCTCCCTCTCAAACCCAACGCTCCCGCCCCGGCCTGACCCTCTGCCCCTGCTTCCCCGCAGGCAGATGACGGCGGCCTGACCGAGCAGAGCGTGGCCCAGGTAGGCCCCACATCGGCCTGGGCCGGGGGGGGGGGGGGAGCAGCGCCTCCTGGGGGGCCCAGCGGGGCTGTGAGACTGAGAAATCGGTGTGGGAGGGATCAGACAGTGACAGCCATGGGCTGGAGAGGCATGGAGGCTTCTCGAGTCTCTGAGGCGGTGCCCAGCTGGGCATTGATCACGGATCACACCCTGCTGGCAGCCGGCCTGCTCTCCTGGCTTGGCATCTTCAGACGGAAACCCTGGGGTGAGTGCCCACCTTAGAGGCGGCTGGGTCAGGTTTCCCCAAAGCAATCCCAGGGCTCGGGCCCTGAGGCCCCCTTTGCCCAGAAAGAACAGCAAACAGGAGTTTTCCTCCAGACCCTCACCCCTCCATGCTAAGGTCCCAGCTGTCACTGTTTAGGGATCCGTGAGCCCGTGATAAGATCTAACTCTCTCCCCCCTCACTTGCCACATAGCCCCTAAGCGACCTGGCGGTGGAAAACTCCATCCCCGCCAGCCCCCTGCATGGTCCTAACTGGGGGTGCATGTGGGGCACAGGGGGAGGTCCCTGGACCCGTGGCCTGACGGTTTCCCAGCTGTGCCAACCTCCTGCCAACCAGCTGACTGCTTGACCTCCGTCTGTCTGCCCCCACCCCCCCAGGTCTCTCTGCACAGACTAATCCTCACTCTGTGGAGCCTCCTGCCCCAGCACTAACTCCCTCCCGCTGTGGTGGCCAGGCCCGGGCGGGTGTGTAACATCCGTGTGGAGCCCTAGGTGTGCTGCCCACTTGCCTGCACTGCCCTGGTGCTCACCCTGCCTCTCCCTCCTGGCGGCTCCCCAGGCCTCCCCCTACGCTGTCGGGAGGAAGACAGACAGCCCTGTGGCCGGTTCCGGTCCAGAGAGGTTAGGGGGCGTGAGCAGAGCATGTATGAACCCGGGCGTGTATGTTCCACTTTCCCACCGAGAGTCCGGGCGGCCGGGGCCAGTGTCTCAGCCTCTCTGGGCCTTCCGCAGAGAGGACAGGCCGCCCCTCACAGAGGTATGGGGAGAACTCTCTGCACCGCTCCACCTTGCCCAAAGGGAGGAAGAACGAAGACATGGCACTTTCCATGGGATTCTTGAGTAAAAACCAAGGAAGTCACAGGGAGCGAGGGGAGGAGGAAACAGGAGAAAGCTGTGTTCTGGCGGGAGAAGCAGGAGAACACCCCCCCCCCCCCCCAGGGCCACGCTGTCCCTGAGAGAGGAAGGGATGCGGGGCAGGAAGAGGGGACACAGGCCGTGGGATGATCCTTCAGAAGGGAGTGAGGGCTGGTGGCTGGAGGGACACTGAGACCTGTGTCGGCGCTGGTACGGCTTTGCGTAAGCACTGGGTTTCAGCTGTTTCCTCAGCTGCAGGTGGGCGTGCACAGTGAGGGCAGGTGTCCTGTGGCCGTGTCTGGCCAGCCGCTGTGTGCCAGCTGTGCCACATCAGCGGCGGGGTGGGGTGGGGTGGGGAGGACACACTGCCGGCCAAGGGCAGACCTCGGGTTTTGCCGAGGTGTCTGAGCTCAGGAAGTGCCAGGCCTGGGCCCAGAGTCTGCCTGGACGTGGCACTGTGGGCAGGAGCTAGCACGACATGGTATGGGAGAGGCAGGGCCTGCCGCCACACCCACCACTGCGGAGGCAGAAACCAGAGGGCTGGGCAGGCCTGGGCCTGGGCTGGGAGCTGGCTGCAGCCAGTCCGGACTGCTCTTCCCTCTGGCGGGCCCAGCCCCGGCTCAAGCCGGTAGAGATGAGCTGCTGCCACCTAGCGGCCAGGAGTTGCAAAGATACAGGGGAGGTGGGTGGTAGCCCTCCCCCTCACCGCAGTATCAAGGCATGGCATTCCCCCTGAATTCTTTCTCTCAACCTTCCTCCCACCCCAGGTCCTCCAGTCCGCCAAGGAACAGATTAAATGGTCGTTACTGAAATGAAGGCCGTGCGTGCGTGCGAGGCTCCCTGCCCCCAGATAATCCGCCCAATCCTGGCAAAAGCTCAGAGACCTCTCTGTATGCCCAGGCCCTCCCAGAACCATCTCCTGAGGTCTCAGGGCAGAGACTCTGAAATAAAAAAATTTTTAAAAAATGGCTTTAGCCCCGAGACACCGCTTCTCATGGCCCTGGCCTGCGCCTGGGGCCTCGAGAACCAGCCGAGTTGAACTCAGACCTCAGGCAGCCCCGAACCCAGAGCCCTAATAAACCTGCTTTCGTTTCCTGCCTGTGGTCTCCTCTCTTGGCCGGGGAGGTGTGTGTGTGTGTGTGTGTGTGTGTGTGTGTGTGTGTGTGTTCCGGTAAGGGTTCCTGCCCTTTCTTTGCCTCCTCGTCTTTAGGATGCCCATGACCAGGGCATATCCCTGGGGTTGTGTGATGGGGGAGAGGGAGGTCGAGGGGAAGGGGACACTGGACACAGCGAGGGGGTGTGGCAGGAATACCACGAGGCCCCGGAGGTGGTAGTATGACGGTGTGACTCGGTAGGTAAAAGAGTAGGAGGAGAAACGGAAAGGGCACATATTTGGGGAAAGGAGACCCAAGATGGTACCCATACTCGTGGTGTGCCCGCTGGGGATTCTGTGAGTCACGTCCCTGTGACCAGCCTCCAGAAGGGAAGGGCGTGGTGCTTCCTGGGGACAAATGGAGGAACAGCACGCCTGTTTTTCTTGGCATGCCTGGCACCCTGGAATTCTTACACTGGCATGTACCCTGGGCACGAGAGCCCTGCAAGCTTGCCATGGCTGGGCCCGATGCTGGGGGCGAGGAGGCATCAGGCAGCATCCCGCCCCCAAGCCCCCGTGCATTTGTGTCCAGAGCACCCAGTGCATTCCCACGGGGTGGGGGATGAAGAATTAGTTGGTGGAGAGAAGGGCGGGAGGGACCCCAGGGGCAAACGAGAAGGTTAGAACCGCTTTCTGGGCGGCGTGACTCCTCATTTCTCTCCCCATCCCAGGCCTCTTCGTTTCTCCCCTTCTTTCTGCGACGCCTATTCCTCCTGCGTCCATGGACCTAAGCCCCCGTGAGTGCCTAGCGTTCAGTCCCCGGAAAACTTGTTTCCCCGGATCCCGTGCTCACGGCAGCCGCCAGCCCACGCCCCGCCCCGGCCCCGCCCCTCGCGGGCGCCCTGGCCGAGGGGAGCCCCGCCCCGGGCGCGCATCCGCGGTCCTGCAGCGCCACCTGGAGGTGAACGCGGGAAACGCGCTCCCTCTGGGCCTCGCTCCCCAGGCTCACCCCGGCCCCCGGGGCGGGACCTACCGGCTCCTGCGGGGTCTCGTGGGGCTCCGGCCCCGGGACTGAGCTTTGCACAAACAACCCCAGGCCGGGCCCGCCCCGCGCGGGCACAGGGACCTCCGCCAGCAGCAGCCACAGTTAAAAAAAAAACAAAACAAAAAAAAGCGGCGAGCCCTGGGCGCTAATTGAAGCTGCGGGCTTCACGCCCTTCATTATAAACCGCTCAGGATGGGACTTTTATCGCGGGCACGGCTATTTCTGTAATTAGAGAAAAGCCATCGGGACGGCGCTATACAAACATACACGCAGTAAGCGCTGCGTTTCACCCATTCCGGTAAATACTGCAGGAGGCCGCTCTGGAAGGGAACAGAGAGTCTGCAATTAGAGGCTGTGGAGTTCGGGGGCCAGCGGAGCGACGGGAAATGAGACATTTTCCAGAAATACTTTGGCAAATAATTGCGGCCTCATCCGGCGCCCGGCTCCGTCCACCGCCTCCGGGAGACCGCCGGGGCGGGAAGGGCGGGCTCGCTTCCTAGCCCCCGGGTCGCGCCCTCCCTGGCCCTGCAGTCCCCGTTGTGCGGGAACAGGGGCCGTGCGGGCCCGGCGGGCCCCACGCACGGGCTCGCGGAAGCCTGCGGTCAGCGCGGCGCTCGCCCCATTTCGCGGAGGGGCACACTGAGGCCCGGGAAGGCGAAAGGTTTTGCAGCCGTCGCCGCAGAGCGGGCTCGGGAGGGAAGGGAGCTGCTGGAGAGAGAGGTGGCGTCCTCGCACCCCTGCCCGGGGCCCCCCCGGCCTCCTCTCCCGCTCGGGGACTGTCCTGGGTTCCGGGGCAGGAGCCCAGGGGACGCAGCGGTGCAGGGAGGCGATCGGAACGGAGCCCTCGCCCCAGGCCCGCAGCGGGGAAGAGGGCGGCGCCCAAAGGGCCGGACCGGCGGGGCGGGGACGTGCTCCCTCCCGGGGAGCCCAAGGGTGCAGGCCCGGCCCTCCCGGCGCCCCAGCCCCCGGAGCCGCAGGACCGCGGGCCTGGCCGTCTGCCCGGAGCGACCGCGGCACCGGCTCCGCCCGGGCGGCCTCATTAGCGCGGCCGCGGGCGCGGAGCGGCTCGCGGGGCCCGGGGGGCGCGGCGCCGTCTGCCCGGAGCGGGTTCCGGGAAGCGCAGCGGCGGTTCCCGGCGAGAGCGGCCGCCGGGGCCTGGCTTCCCGGCCGCTTGCACCCCGGGCCCCGCCCCGCCGTTCTGCCTCCCTCGCCCCCTCCATCCTCTGGGCGCCCCAGAGGCTCTGGGGTGTATGTGGGGGAAGGGGCTTCTGGGAACCCCTCTCCTCCTGCTGAACTGGTATCGGGGTGCTTCAGACCCGCCCCCCCATAAGCCTGGGTCCAGCCAGAGGGGGCCCGCCGAGACGCTGCTGGGGGAGGGGGCCCCACCTTCCCTGGGCCCGGACAGAGGTGGTACCTCCCTTTATACCGCCGGGAGCCGGCCACGCCCTCCCCGCCCCCTGCCTCCCACTCATTGGCTGGCAGGAAGCAGGGCTGTTCCCATTGGCTGGCATCCGGACGGGATGGATGGCCCCCTGCGGACTGGACCCGGGCGGAGAGGGCGCGGGCTCTTTACCTGGCGGCAGGCTCCGGTGAAGGCGGGGCTGGGAGGTCTGGGGGGAAGGGGAGGAGGGAGACGGAGCAGGAGACCCGCCCACAGTGCAGACTTTCCGTGCCTCCCATCTCCATTTGAAACGCTTCAGAGAGAAAAAACAAAAAACAAACAAACAAACAAAAATCTTACCTTTGAATTCCCAGGAGAAACCCTTTCACTCCTGAACCTGATGTAGGCAAAGTAGAATAATTTACCCTAAGCAATCTGGGCACAACCCTACAGACCTCCCTTCCCCTCCAAGCTGGGTCTCATTCACTTAACAATATATTTGTGCGTTCCTTTTGTTCGTTCGTTTGTTCATTATTTCATTCATTCCTTTATTCAAATATTTGAGTGTCATAAGCCAGGAAAGGAAGGGGGGGGTGATGGGGAGGAGGAGACAGGAGGGAGGGAGACTGACTAACGAGTGATTGGGTCCAGACGTGGCAGTGGGGTGGGGGTGAAAAGGTTGGAAGGAGCTGAAACCGGTTTGGCTCAGTGGTTAGCGGCCTGCCGACTGAAAGGTCCCGGGTTTGATCCCGGTCAAGGGCATGTCCTTGGTTGCGGGCACATCCCCAGTAGGGGGTGTGCAAGAGGCAGCTGGTCAATGATTCTCTCTCATTGATGTTTCTAACTCTCTATCCCTCTCTCTTCCTCTCTGTAAAAAATCAATAAAATATTTTTTGAAAAAAGAAAAAAGAAAAGAAAAGAAAGGTTGGAAGGAGAGAAGGGATTTGAGAGATATTTCAAGGTAGAAATAACCTTTTAAAATCAAAGGGCGTTCTATACCTTGAGCTGAGCGGTGTAACATCAAATCGATGTTTCTCCACTTACATCTAAGATGTGTGATCTTCCTTGGAGGTGAGTCACGTTTCATTTAGAAAGGAAAAAATCAAACGGCTGCCACATTTTACTCTATCAATGACATCTGTATAGTCCTCATCGGTTTCCTACTCTCTTCCTCACCTCCATCAGCTAAAACTGGGAAATATCTTAGCTGAGGACCCAACGAAATGAGAGGGGTTGTGGAACACGTGTGGATTTTACACTTACCTGCAGGTGAGTGCCATCCCTCAAGGTGAACTCGCTGGTAAAAAGAAAAATAAAGCAGTATTAATAAATAAATAAAATTAGGAGTACTAGTGCTGAAACCGGTTTGGCTCGGTGGTAGAGGATTGAAAGGTCCCAGGTTCGATTCCGGTCAAGGGCATGTACATTGGTTGCGGGCACATCCCCAGTAGGGGGTGTGCTAGAGGCAGCTGGTGGATGTTTCTCTCTCATCGACGTTTCTAGCTCTCTATCCCTCTTTCTTCCTCTCTGTAAAAAATCAATAATATATATTTTAAAAAAATACAAGTAGTAGTAAAATAAAGTTCCTTTTGGAATAAATTCTTCTAACAGACATTTCCTAACTGGCTGTTCTGAACCAGGCACCTGGCTGGGGCTTGGTGGGGACTTCTAAGCTGAATGGGAAGACAGTTTCTGACCCAAGAAGCTTACAACAAAGTCCCGACTGCAGAAATCACAGACATTGACCCGGGACATGGTGTATTGCATAGTATTCGACAGAGAGAAGTCAGAGTAAGTGGCACCAAACAGGGAGCAATAACATAAGCAAAGGAAGGAGGCAGAGAACCTGTCTGGGGAGCTGCAGGCCGGCATCCGTAGCTGGAGGACGGATGGGTGTCTCTGTGGGAACGCTGGGGTGTGTTGAGGTTTCTCCCTAGGCAGGTGGTATGGGGATCGAGGGGAGTGTGGAATGACACGTGGAAGCATAACTGCCATTTGCTGTTCACTACTCCATGCACCTTAGAAACTCTATTGTCTCAGAACCACCTAACAAAGGTGCTGGTCGCCCTGTTTTTATAACCGAGGGCACAGGGGTTTGGGTGATTTGCCTCAGGGCACGGAGGTGAGGCGTAAACCCATGCGGGTCTGACTCCATTGCCAATAGCTTTTCGCTCCAACCACAGAGCCAAGGAGCATGGCTTGCTTTCTGAAGGTAATGGGGCCATTGAAGATTTCCAAGCAGTTACGTGATATCAACTCTGTGTTTTGAGCAAGGAACTCTGTCAGTAACAGGAAA